GGTTGAGTGTGATATGGAGAATTCTGGATTGAGGCTGACCATTGGATGACCATTTTTGATGTCATCTTCTTGCAAGTCTATTATTGGTAAAAGCTGGATATGATATCAAGGATTATTAATTCATTAGACAAGAACGACTGTCTCCATAACAAGTGCCAAAATGGAGCCCAGTGTATCGATCTGACGAACGGTTATAAATGCCAATGTGCTCGAGGTTTTATTGGAGCAGATTGCAGCATAAGTAAGTACTTTTCTTACCCCACCACTCCCCCAAGACGTAATTTTTCGTGAAACCACACAAATTAAGTAAGTACTTTTGCCCCCAACCATCTCCCCAAAAACAAGTAATCTTTCTCCACCCATACCCCAAACATTTCTTGATTTCTAGCTTAATTCATCTTTTTTTTAGATAAGGACGATTGCTCTCCCAACCCTTGTCAAAACGGAGGTGTTTGTGCRGACGGCATTGACGCCTTTAACTGCACATGCGCAAAAGGATATGATGGAAAGACTTGCGGAAACAGTAAGTGCATCGTGACGTCACTCGTTGACGTCATCGTGACGTCATCTTCTGCTGTCTTCTGTCTCAAGGTTAAATGTGATGTCATTTGTCAATTAAAATGTTTTTATTTGATGTCTTTGTCTGTCAAACATGACGTCGTTATGTAAACACACGTAATTTAAGACTTCGCCCTGGTCTCATTTTGCTCTTATTATGAAATTATTCTATACTTTATTGATCATATAATGAGTAATTTTAACCCAGTTGATAAATGTTGCCATCTATGTACGTGGCGTCATCAAATATACGTCATTTGTTTCTTTGTGACGTCATTTTGTGTTCCAACCCAGACATTGATGACTGCAAGAATAATCCCTGTCTAAACGGTGGCACATGTAATGATGGTGTCGATAAGTACACGTGTGGATGCGCTGCAGGATTTACGGGAACAAACTGTGAAACTAGTAAGTAATGCCTCCCTCAAGCCTCCCTCCTTCTCCCTCCCCCTCCTTCTTCTCGTCCCCTCGTCCACTCACCCTCCTATCATCCCCATTATATCAGGTGAATGTAAAACGTGTCTACTTGTATATGTAGCTCACTTTCCGAACTTAAACGAACTACCCTCGACAGTGCTTTAAACGACCGTCGAACGTTCGGTTCGTTCGGTTTTGAGATGCAAATCACGAAAAGCTGCAGTTTGGAAGACAGACTTTTGACCTCTGTTAAACGACCACCGAACATACCTCGCTAGTTCGTTCGGTTTTGAGATAGAAATCACGAGAAAATGCAGTTTGGAAGACAGACTTTTGACCTCTGTTAAACGACCACCGAACATACCTCGCTAGCTCGTTCGGTTTTGAGATAGAAATCACGAAAAACTGCAATTTGGAAGACGGACTTCTGACCTCAGTCAAGCGACCACCGAACATACCTCGCTAGTTCGTTCGATTTTGAGATAGAAATCGCGAGAAAATGCAGTTTGGAAGACGGACTTCTAACCTTACTATTGCATTCCGTGTTAGTTTTCAATATTATTATTTTCAGCAAGAAATTCCTTTATTTCAACTCATAAAACCACACCATCATTTATCATAGATATTGATGACTGCGATCCAAACCCGTGTCGAAAGGAAAACACCGAAAAGTGCATCGACGACGTCGCTAAATATGAATGTAAATGTAAACCAGGATACAAGGGAACCATATGTGAAATCAGTAAGTATAACCGCTGACTTTGTTCTTACTTCACAATAGACTTCTGAACCTTTTAAGGCTGATTTACACGGCACGATTGTCTCGTGCRAYTTGYAGTATACGACTTKAATCGCGCAGTGTAAATGCCCCTACGACTTGTCTACAACAGTCGTACGCAACCAACGACTTGTAGTAGGTTTTTGAACCACTGCTTAAAATCCTACGACTTGTAGTAGGAAAATCGTATACTACAAGTCGCGCGCGACAAATCGTACCGTGTAAATCAGCCTTTACGTCACTACTTGATTTGCGATGCATTGTGGGATAAGTTTCTTGAGAAAACAAAAGAGATCCGCCATGTTTTGTCCCAATTATATCCTACAATGCATTATTTATGCGGTACATGAATAAATGCTCCAGAGGTCTATTGAGTTTTGGATGAAAAGATTGTTATATCAGTTTTRAACGAAAGAAAGATGAATTTGCTACGTGAACATCGAATTCAAATTCTGTGGGAAAAAGAACTTTTGCTTATTGCTCGTCTTCAATCATTCCCATGAGATTCAAAAGATAAAAGACCGGCGGCCATGTTGGAGGAATGAACAATAGATACTAATGAGAAATCGTTTGTTGAAGTTCCTCCAAGATGGCYGCTGTGACGTATAGTAAAAGCGAAGTATAATTTTCACAATCGCCTTAAAATGCAGTTGGGATTGTTGTTAATATAGTTGAGGACACAAGAACAATGAAAAAAGTTTTTTTTTTGCTAGGATGATTCGGATAATTATACTGAACACTAAGCCAAAAGGCCGATTTACTATACATGGTAAAAATGTCATGTGGAACTTGAAGTATACGAGTCACTGAAAACAACTACCTAGTTCCGTGTATATTTGCCTAAAAAGTGAACTAAGTCCTTAATAACAATACTACGAATGATAAAACTCAAATTCCAATGTTTACTCCGACAGATATCGATGACTGTTCGCCAAACCCTTGTGTGAATGGCCAATGCAGCGACAAAGTTAACGACTACGATTGTAATTGTGAAGCTGGTTGGAAGGGAAAGAACTGTGATATAGGTAAATTATCTTATGTTTTTAAACTAAAGTCAACTATCGCTACTACGGATACCCTTGGGACCGTATTTTAGTTTCCTCAGTAGCGAGAGACCGTAGTAACGAGAGTTACTTTCAGTCATTTCTTTGTATTTTTTTGCCGGGGATTCAATATTTAGTATCCGTAATATCGAGGTTACCGTAATAGCGGGGTGTCCGTAAGACGAGAGTTGACTGTAATGACTAGCCGGGGTGCCAGTAATATCGGAGTGTCCGTAATTGGGGTGTATGTTAGGTTAGGGTTAACTATAAGAAAGTGAAGAAGGCTTATTGTTTAATATTCTTGTGTTTTGACCAGATATTGACGACTGCAACCCGAACCCTTGCATGTTAGGGGGGACATGCAAAGACGAAGTGAATGGTTTTAACTGTACTTGTGCGCCAGGAAGGATTGGAACGAGATGCGAAATTGGTAAGATATAACAACGATGGTGATTGGTTGATTTTAACAAAAAATGAAATAGTGATTGGTTAACTTCAAACAATAGCGTAATTATAATGGCAACAGTGATTGGTTCATTTCGTTCAACAAATGTGATCATAACGCGATCTGCTATTGGTTGATTTTAGCATTGATATATAACACCAGATTTGATTGGTTAATCAAAGAAKAAACTGATCCAAAAGTCAAGTACATAGATATAGTTTAAAATATTCAACTGCACAGTTCAACATTAATTGTAAATATTTGCTTTATGATCAGACGAGGACAACTGCGAGAGCTCTCCGTGTCAAAATGGCGGCGTTTGCTCCGATAGGGCAAACGACTTCGTCTGTCAATGCAAGGCAGGCTACCAAGGAAAGGACTGCAGCATTGGTACGTTTACGTGACATACCTTACGTTACGTGGCGGTTACGATAAC